AACAAAATAACTGTTCTCACATTGCTGTTCAAGGCTTCTGTCCCCCAGATCCTCTCACCTGAGGTTAGGATCCTGCTTTCGTTTGACAAGAGTGAATAAATTTGGGGTTTTTTTTTTTCCTCTCCTGCAGCGTTTCATTATGTTGTTAACTGAGCACTTAGTGCGCTGTGAAACTGGTGGAATCGATGTATTTACACCTTGGTACAAGAGCTGTATAGAGAGGTTGCAACAGATCTTCCTACAGGTAAGTTTCATTTCTCAGTTTCGAAGGCTGTGGGCAGGGACATGCTGGATAGACAAGCTTTGTGGCTGGAGAGCTGAGCACTCCGTGGGAGTAGCAGTAGGTGGCAGCAGCACGTCTTCTCTGAAGGCTGAAGGTGTGGGGCTAGGTCGTAACGCTCTGGCTCTGGCCACATTTCTGCCACAGGCTGGTGGAGTGACTGGTGCTTGATTAATTCCCACACTGTGAGCATACTGCAAAAAGGTACTGAGGTGTGATTATGAATTTCGCTGAACTCCTCTTAACTGTGTGTTTATAGCAAGGGCAAAGTTGTGAGTGAACAAGAATACTAAAATAGATGTCTTTTAAATAAGCGGATTAAAATATTGCAGAATTCCTTTTAATAAGATGCAGAAATATCTATTAAAAATAATTTTTGAATTCTTGGCTCTATATTAAATCGGGTAACAAGCACAGGTGGCTGGATGAAAGTGATAGTAATAGAAAATGATACCTGTGCGAGCAGAAGATATGTTGAAGAATGAGGGTGGTGGTATAATTCTCCCCTGGGCTGAACCCTTCCCTGCTAGTAGATGTGGCTTCAGAGGAAAGCAAGTATTATGATTCTCCTAGGATATCTCTGCAGTTGCATGGTATCCTGCACACAATTCAGGGTCCAGGAGTGAAGAGCTACAGGGAGCACAGTGCTTCTCAAGACAGACAGCACATGCTTTTTTCTTGGAATCAGTAGTGGATCTGCATTATGCTTTTCTTGTCAGTGGCTGGTGTGTTGTGGAAAGATGATGTGCTTAACAATTTTGAAAACATTTGACCTGTGATTCTTACATGCCTTGGCTTCTCTGCCTGTTCTTACATAAAGATAAATGAAAACAATAAAGGTTTGTGTTTTGTTTTTGTTTTTTATCTGCCAGCATCACCAGATAATCCAGCAGTACATGGTAACCCTAGAGAACCTCCTGTTTACAGCTGAACTGGACCACCACATACTGGCCGTGTTTCAGCAGTTCTGTGCTCTGCAGGCCTGAGGATTATTCACGGGCGGAGTCTTGTCTGCAGGACTTTAACAAATTTAATTTTTTCTTTTTTAATGGGAAAACTTGACATGGGGATGGAAGAAACTTTTGACTAAAACTGGCTTTCATGTGCTCCTGCATAAAACAATACAGTACTCTAACCAACAGCAAACTGTGTAAGCATCACAAGCCTTACAAGATACGACTGATAGGGGATAGACATGAAGTAAAGTATGAATTCTTTGTGTTGTCTTTTAATTTGGTTTGACTCTTGACTTCATGATAGTGTTTTTGTTTCTCCCGTTGTTTATATAAAAATAAAAATTGGGCAAAAAAACCAAACAACCCCCTCCCAAACAATTGTTACCTCTGCCTGGCCCTTAAATCAAAGGAATTGCAGAAATGAGAAACCGTTCGTAGTGTTTTGTGAGTATGAAAGGGAATGCACCTTCTCAGTGCGCAGTGTGGTAAGCTCTCTAGTATGGCACAGGAAAAGTGTCTTTAACTTTGGGCATGTGAAACAGTTGAGTTAAGCTTTCAAAGTAGTATAGAGCATATGGATTTGTTTATTACCAAGCCAGCTAGATTTTCACAGTTTGAAAGAACATGGTTGTAATACAATTGAAATATGTTTTTTAAATGTATTGTCTAGTGTCTTATTACAGTAGCTATAAACAATCAGTAGAGGAACTTCATGGACAGCTTCTGGAAAATGCAATCCTTTTTGCAGATGGTCAGAGAATCATGAACTGCTCCTGGCAGCAGTCTTCACTGAAAATAGAGGCAGTAAGCAAGAGTTGGAGTGGAACAAGCTTTTGACTTCCGTACTGCAAGCCTCACCTGGCTGTTGGGAGCTCCAGCCCCAGATGCCAGGGGAGAGGGCAGTGCAGTGTTCAGCTTGTTCCTTTATTTCCACCTGTAACTAGTTGGGCTGCCGAGCTTGCTCTGGGCTGGACCTGCAGGCCTGCAGTGATGCCAGAAATCTTTCTGGTAGTGACAGTGGATGAACCAAGTGCCCTCACCTCATCTGGCTTAGTAACAACTGCTTTGCGGTGGCCGCATCTGCTGCCCTTCCCTTGCTTTAAAATGTGACAACAGCACGTGGCTCCCATGTCTTCAGAAAGCATTTTAATGCTAAATTAAGTGATATCTCACAGGAGACTTAGATGGGGAAAACACATCCTGAAAATAGAGTAGCCTTAGTTTTGAGTTATGCAAACAACATTGCATACATAAACGCCAAACCAGAGTGGTCTGTGTTACGGTAAGCAGTGATGAATGGCAAAGGCACTGCCTTAGGTGCTCAGGTCCGTCGGCGTGCAGTGTATTTACACGCTGTTTATGGTTTCTTCATTCTGCAGATGAATGTTTAAAGAATTTCATATGCAGTGCTATTCAGTTTAAGCTTAGAAAGTGATGAGCTTTTGAGTAATTTTGTTCCTGTACCAGTTATTCTTTCAAGTATTATACCTATTAATGCATTTCATCTGTATGTTGACCAACTGATGTCCTGATCAAGAGAGGAGGGTAAAAAACGGAACTTTCTACTTTGAGTGTTGACGTAAGTTTGTGTGTGGCCTGTAGCAATCCCATATATCCTCATAGACTTAGATCTGTTAATTCTGCTTTCTCTGCTTGCCCTTTCCGATTTGACTGATCCCTCCATTCTTTCAGGATATGCTGTTAATTGTTGTAAATTTGCTTTATGCAAGGGTTTTGTCGGTTATGCACAGACTTCTGCTTCAAGTATTTCTCTGTTAATGTTCTTGAGTAATCAAATAGTTTTTTTAAGAAACATTTAATACTGTAGAGGTTTTAATTGGGGTTTAATAGTTTTTTCACTGGCTCAGATCAGTATCAGAGTTCTGATATTAACTAATAGGGGACTGACTATAAATGTGACTTCTGTAAAAGTGATAATGCAGTTTAAACTTGCAAACCTGTAACTTCCTCTGAGCCTTGCAAATATGGGTGCTGGGGATCCAGTTGCAAATGCCTGAGCGTAATCCTGTGATTTAAAACCAAATAGCAACATCTTTCAAAATTGATTTGACTTCCATGGTGAGCATGGGCTTTGATTACATTTCTTGAGTCTGTAGGAAACCTTCCCCTCTTTGTAGGTGGCGTACACCTGACTTGACTGGGAAACTGGTTGGATCTGTAGGAAAGAGAACGAGACGCTTGCATAGTGACACCAGCATCTAACTGGAGAAACTTGGAACTGCTGAAGCATGAGGTGGCGGCGGATAGTGTAAAGATGCTGTAGAAATGTGATGTGGTTGGAAAAAATGCACAATTAAAGACAAAAATAAACAAAGGTGAAGGAGGTTACTACTGGGAGTGTTTGTCCTACCTGTTTTGGGGCCACTGAAGGAAAGCAGTCATGGCAGGGTTGTGCTGGTGTTAGATGAAGTCGGGTTTGGAGCAGTTTCGTTTCCCCTGCTCTGTTGCTGGTACCCTGACTAACACACCAGCTCCTTGAGCTATGGGCTGATCTAACACGCTTCCCACACCTGCGCAGCCAAGCGAGGCAAGATGCCAGGAGGGTGCTGATGTCGAAATTCTCCCTCTCCCTTGCCACCTCCTGTCTTCTGGGCGGTGCTGCGGGAGGTGAGGCAGGGGTGGGCCGGTGGTGGTTGCTGAGGAGTGGCTGCTGCGGCCTGCCCAGAGGTGATTCAGCAGCCAGCACACACCACCCAGGTGCCCCAGAGAGGAGTTTTGGGTCCCAGGACACCACCAGGTCACAGAACCGTGACCTGGAGGACTACCTCCAAAAGCTCTGCCAGGACCTGCCTCTTGCCCTCCAGCCAACCCCACATGCCACTTTCCTAGGCCTCGCAGGGCCCCCGAGTCGTGCGTGCCTGGTGGGAAGGTGGGTCACTGCGGGCTGCAGACCATGGGAGGGCACTGAAGAAGCGAAGGCGTATTACTGGAACCATCATCCGCCCTCCCAGACACCTCTCTCTCCTCCTGTAACGTTTCAGCTCTGCACAGCCACAGTGGCCCAGGCTCCCCCAAGAAGTCTCCAGAGGGGAGATTTACGATACATGCCCCATTTACAATGGCAGATCATGCCTAGAGCACATTCCTTCACTTCAGCCATTTCCGCAAGCATTCTACAACAGCTGCGAGAACTGAAGATGTGAAATTTGAACTTCCCCCCCTCCCCCAAGAATAGGTATTTGTCAGAAAATTGTAAATGATAAGGGTGAAGTTGTATTGTAAGCTGTCACCTTCGTTTTTGGTGCAAAACATGGAAAAAAAGCAGTAGAGGATACACTTAAGGACTCTCTCCTATGAAACATGGTAGAGATGTGTCAGAACTTCCCCAGGAGCACATGGCTTCCCTTTTGAGAAAGAATTCTCCTTTCCCAACCAGAATTCTCCTTTAATGGAGTTGAACCTCCCAATCCAAGCAGAAAGGGAACCCACCTCGTGACACAGTCTCCAACCGCCGGAGGAGGTGCTTTATCAGCTAGTTGCCCTCTGCCTGCCCATGACAGTTACTGGAAACCAAACGGTTCAGACAAAACACAGGGCCTTCCTCCTCTAAGGGAAGCAGGCAAGTAGTGGGAAGTTCACCTTCGTTTCATCAGCGTATGAAATCTTTTGGCCTATGAAGTACCAACTTATTGAACTGTTAAAAATGTTAAATTCTATCCTACGATGTAGCTTGAAAGGCAAAGCTTACTGAACAGCTTCTTCCAACCGAGGAGCATCATTCTTTATTAGAATTCAGCAACAGCTTGTTCATAATTAGCTTTTATTTGACTTTAATACAAAATACCATTAAAAAGATAATTTAAAAAAAAAACCAACAGATTAACACTACATCTTCTCATAAGTTAATTCATGGCCACATACAGTACAGGTCTTTTTATATGTATCTTCATCAATGTTTTCTTCTGGTCCATACTCATGTTCATGGATACTAGCTTCTTTCTTCCACAAACTACTCCTCACGGCACGGCGGAGTTCTGATGAGAAATACAAGAAATTTTTAAGATTTTAATAAATCTTAAATAATGGTTAATAAAACTCAAGCTAACCACCCTTCTGAGGACTACAGATGACGATCTGCTTGTTGCCCATCTTCCACAAATTTTGGGTGAGAATCTGCTACTGCAAGAACAAGCTCTGACTTGCCTTGCAATCTTCACCTCGTTTGCATATTTTAGAGGATAAGAACTACAAGGTCTTGTTCTTATCCTTCCCTTAGAGGATAAGAACAAGACCTCACAGGAGAAGATTCTCCATCTGGACTATGTACATGTTGCCCACCGCCATTTTACATGAAGCCATTCAAAGGTATCTAAAAGGGGTAGGTGGAATGCAGAGGGAAAGTTTTTATAAAACACCTCATTGTTTTACATGACCGAGAAAGAGTACTTTTCATTCAGGTCACAGTAAGCCTCCCGAATGAGCTGGCATTCTCTCAGCTTTCTGCCCAATAACGCGAGTTGCCTCTGCAGCAGCCGCAGTGAAGTCAGCGGGTTTTCAAGAAAGCACAGGCTGGCAGTTGAGCCCCAAGATATTATCCGGACGTTGCAAGGGGGTGGCAAGCACGCCGAACAGCAAAACGTAGCCCTGTTTTGAGCCAAGCCATTCAGGCTGCAAACTTGGTCACGTTAAGGCCTGTACTTGCACTGAACTCTGACATCTTGACTACGGTGCGCTGAACACCAACGGTCAAGACAGGGGTTATTTGCTCAGTCTCACGTTCTGCCTCCTCCAGACAATACCAGCACAGCCAGCTTACGCTTTCTGCCTCTGTCAATGCCGACCCACAGTGCAGCGTGGATGCTATGGCAGCACAGATGTCACGGTACGCCACAGCTCTTGCAAAGAAACAAACATGCAGTCTTTTCTGAAATTACTAGCATGTCTGTGCCGAAAGTATTTTCCGAAAGTTCCACCCATTGAATACTCTCCTAAATACTTATTTATCAGGAAAAAACAAGGATAACGAGCAGTAAAAACAGCAGGTGGGAATGCTGTGAACAGTGAGAAAAGGCATCTTCTACCTTCATTTACAGTTACTCCACCTGAAGGCAGATGTATGACAGAATCATAACCCACTGCCACAAAAATCCATGCTCTCCACAAGACAGGAGAAGTAACAGGAACAATCTATCCAACTATGGCACACTCCAGGCCATACCAAAAAATTTAAAACACCATAATGAACCGTCGTAATTGATTTCTGTCACTTTAATCATGTCCATAGGACAACAGGGTAATTCAGGTTGGAAGGGACCTCAGATCTTCGGTCCAACCCTCCGCCCAAAATAGTCAGCTATGAGGTCAGACCGGACTGCTCTGGGCTCACCCACACAGCTCTTGAAAACCTCCATTTTGCCACACCGAGGACTTTCTAAACACTTTAATCAGATGCAGAAACAAATTCAGACAGAACCGTACGTTACTTCAGGTACTGCAGTATGTAATTTTAACCCTTTACCTTTAACCTTCTTATCAAACTTCTTCTGTTTCATCTTCTCTCTGCTGTCACGGCGGAGTTCCTTTGCTTCTTGCAATGATTCTTCACTACCCCAGACTTCAAGAGAACGCTTGATTACCTACAGGATGGACATAAATGTGTTTCTTTTTCCCCTAAAATGATAAACTATTCTCACAAATTTAATTTTTTCCCTATCCATACACAAGTCAACCCAATCTTGCCTCTGCCTCACACCTGCCTCTGCTCTTGACCTGCAAACATTCCTTTCACAGTAAGAAGCAACATTGATTTTTAGTATCAGCTAGATGTAACTTACTCAGGAAAGTCAAATCCAGTTCTAGTTTTGCGCATATTCCACTAAAGCAGCAGGATTCCCATAAAAGTAGCAAACAAGTGACAAGAGCCCCGTAAAATCTACTTGCCTTTCCCGCTGCCTCTGAGGGCAGAGCTGTGAACACAAGGCCGCAGTGACAAAGGGCCACACACAACAGCAACTGCCCCATGCATTTCAGAGTAGCACTGAAAGGCCATGCACTTCATGACTTGCAATTGTGCAAACCACTGAGGTTGTGGTCCATGAACATCTTTAAAATGCTCTCAAGCACAGACGTTTTCATGAATTTGGACCACAGCTCTTTTAAAGAAAATTTACACAAGCAATGCGTAATATACTTCGCTTTGACAAAATCATTCAGGAATCAGAAGCGAAGTGACACCATTTTGGCTACCGAAGTTGTACGAGAGTAAAAAGAGGTCTGAAATACGCTAACAGTTTCTATACCTGTAGTTTTAAATAAAGTTTCATGTCACCCCACCGTGAATTATGCGGGTTTTTCTTCACAATGAATCTGAGCACTGGTTCCCTCTTGTCTAAGTCACAGTCTTTAAGAAGATACTCTTCTTTTGCTTCTGTCCTTGTTATAAGCTTATGTTTATCTTCAGCATCTCTGGAAGATGTAAAATAATGATGAGAAAGCTACACCCCAAAACCACGTCTAACCACATCTAAGTCCCCATCACCTCTAACATTCCTGAAATACTGGCAGCCCTTATCCTCTCAGTTTTTATGTATGCAAGTAACTTTGGATTCCAACAATCTAGCTAAACTCCAGGACTGGTTTACAGAAATGAAGTTTAAAAACTCTCCCATTTGAGCAAACATAGACTGAGAAGCCTGTTGTTCTAGAAGGGCTTTCTTCTATTTTCTTACAAGAGGGAGTAACTGAAACTTAAAAGGACTACGAATAATTGCACCTAACCCAGATGCAATTCAAGAGGACAAAAGTACAAGCCCAACACATGGTCGAGAGAAAGAAGGTGTAATGTGAGACAGGTCAGATCACCTGAGAATATACACACTCCATATGCTTCTAGATCCCAGAAACCGATTAGCAACAGAGCACTTGTTTCTAAATGCAAGACAGTAAGCAGAGGAACTGTAAAATAAAGACCTTAAAAGACTTAACTTTTGCCAGGCAGATAACGAAAAAAACTGTGTAACCACAGCAGCATTTATGAGTTAATGAAAAGAAATCGCATTTACGCAATCCTGACCGAAGTGTAACTTGAATTGCTTGAGCCGGAACAATCTGCTGAACAGTAAGTGCTAGCAACGGTCATCAAGGAAGTACCGCTGTAAACGTAGCTTTACTAGAATTCAAAGTTCACAGTAAAACCTAATGCGCCGAGGAATCTCTAAACGTTCAGCTACAAGAGATACTTAGTCTGAAGGAAAGCCACTCCTAAGGCTCCCAGCCCTCTCCACAACATCCTTTTTCCACCCACCTTACCTTCAAGAGACAGCACTTTGCCTCTAAGGACTGTGAACTGCCTACAGCATGTCCACACCCCTGACCACTCCCTGCAGTACGCAGGGAAGCTCTCAGAACAAACTCCTAGCTCTGAGCTTTTTTTTTTTTCCCCTCCTCCACCCATTCATTCTTGCACTTATGGGTGGTTGGCCGCTTCAGAGTTGGTTTCATTGCCCTGGTTATCTTGATGGCTTTTGGAGCATTTTCTGTGTTAAAGGTAAGAGACTGCCTTCCGCTCAAGGCCAAACTCCTGCTTACCCTGCAGGTCAACTGGTAACCTCCCGTGGGGGTTCTGCGTTCTGCCCTTTGGCTGCCACGCTCCCAGCCCACCTGTGCTGACCAAAGTACTAACTTTACCTGGGTTAATTCACTAGGACAGCAAACACTCTCCTAATCCCCGCTCTACTTCAGTCTGTGTTCTACCAGCTTTTTGAATAGCTCTAGTCTGCAACCAGACATTAATTTCCATGCTGACAAACACACCGACTGCTCTCAAGACATCGTGTTTCCGCAATGTTATGTAAAAATCTACTGATGTCCCCTATCCCAAGACAGGCTCGCGAGACAATGCTGCTGTTCTTCACTTCCATAATGGAAAATACAGAGATTATCGCTCAACTTCCATTTATTTTTTCAGTAGGTACTAAGTTACTGAAAAAACGTCTCTTTGCTGACAGCCTTTGTAATTAAACAGAATTATTGTAATTAACTAAATTACAGCCAGCAACCTTCACATAAAATGAAGCTTCCCTCTCCTGATTATTTGTAATACCTGCAATTATCACATGTTGCCCAATCAAAGTGCTGCATAAGGTAGGAATCCATGAATTCTTTGCCACAGTCTCCACAGATGAGATAGTCAAATTCTAGTACAGGTGCTAATGGAAAAGAAATTTTTTTTTTTAAGGAACTACCACTTTAAAAACAAGCATCTGGAATTGGTATTACAGGCAATTTTACTAGAATTTACATTATAGTTCTTATAGTATTCGTTACAGACTAGTTTTACTTCTCTATTGAAGTTTTCCGGAAAGATACAGTACAAATTCAAACCCATTATCATGCAATCCCATCTCTGCTGGTATATTCCTGTTCTTGCTGGAAGGTTCACTGTATTAAGTATTGGATTTCAACATTCAAATGCACACATTTGTTTCGACTTAGCCACTGTTAAAAAAAAAAAATTGTCCGCGTTTCCCCATGAAGTGCTTCATATCCCCTCCTACGGCTTCCTCCCTTCTGGCCCTCCAAAATACGTCCTGATTTACAGAGGACGTGCAGGCAGGAACAGGAGGAAGCAGAGAAGGGGATGCAGTGCGAAGAGTGTGGCTAGAGCAGGAAGCAGTACAGGAGCTGCACTGGCATCATAGTCCTCTCAGCTCTGCTCCAGTTTTCTCCCCAGCTCAGCCACACCTGCCTCTCCCTAAACGAGCTCAGCAGAGGCCTGGGGCAGTTGGCAAGGCTCTTGTCTATTCCAGCCGGCAGAAATGGAGGTGGATGGCCAGAGAGCTGCTAGGAGTGGAATGGGGATGGAGCTCCACTACAATCCTCTCCCCAAGCCCTCTCAGCACTGCTCCAAGCCCAGACTCATCCCAGTGCCGGCCATGACTTCTGGCCACATCTTCGCCAGGCAGATCACCTCCAGCGTCATCGCCATCTGCTGTATGTTCCATGTGACACCGAGAAACACCGATTCAGGTAACGCAGCTATAAGGAACGGTCCTTTAACAGTAACATTGTAATTCTAGCAGAAAATTAACATTTTTATACAGTTTCGCAAGCTGAAAGTGCGTTAATGCTGCAGAATATTAACAATACCTGAAACAGAAGATTAATGCTTGACATGCAGCACCATACATTTTTAATTGCATTTGCATTTAGAGCAGATTCAATCTAGCAAAGGCGACATTTTATGCCAATTCAGCCCCACTAGCGACAGTGGGATGCTCAGTACTTCACATAGCCATGCTCTTACATCACATTTCGTCATTTAAGGCAGTACTCCCGAGCATAAAGACATTTTATTAAGACAATGACATTATGAATTACACAGCAAAAATACCCCCAGTGCAAAGGCATCCCAGATCTACTTAATTTATTATTAAAACGTTAGCCCCTCAAGAGAAGTAGGACTGCTAGTTGTTTACACTCTTAATGAAATCTGGTGGTGATTTCTAACAAAGAGATACACTGCACCAACAGCCCTGCAGCTGATTCAGAGCAGAACAAAGCAAGACAAAGGCAATCCCAGAGAAGAAAGTAAATCTATTTTGGGATCCTTACTTCTCCATTTGCTTTTTGGAGGGAGGATATCGCAAGCCAATATGTCGAAATCCTCCACCAAACGATCAGCAACTTGGCGTCAGTACGTTTTATAACGACAAAAGCTGGCACTGCAGCAGTGCTCTGATCGTGGCATAAACGGTATCAACCTCAAAATTCCCAGAACCGACGAAGCCGCGCAGATTCACGCTTATTTTGGTCTTAAAATTCAAATTCCCGAAAGAAATAGGGAAATAACCTTTACCGGGGAAAAGTAAAAAACTGCTATACCAAAGCGCCCCGACTGCGTCCCACTTCCGCGGCTTAAAATTCTTCATTTTTAATTACCGCGTATTTGCTAGCCGCTTTAACGCCGAAAGAATCGGACGCGCCAGAAATCGTGCGCGTCCAGAAAGACGCGTTGGGAGGAAGAGGGAGGGGGAGGGGGGAAGGGAGGGGGTGGAGAGGAAGAAAGGGGAGAAAAAAAAAAG